ATTAGACTACAAGATCAGGATTTGGACGGCTTCCTTAGAATACACAACAAAATTCCAACAGCGTTGGTCAAAAATAAAAGTAATCACCATTAAGTAGTTAAATTAAACAAAAAAAAAACATGATACAGTGATCAATGTGGTCATTTCCTCATGGTTACTGTTACGAGTGTGCAGTAAATGACTGGAGGTTAGGAAGAATGGCCTTGGATGTGCCTCTTAGCTGACCTCTACGTACTGTTCCACAAGGTTAAGGACTCGGACATTCAAAAATATACCTGCCACAGCAAACAGAGCCTTGATATACCGTAAATAAACAGTAAGATATATTGCGGAAGATGCAATTGTAGATTTGATCTAGGGCTTGAAAACAGTAGTTTATCATCTGTGGGCAATACTTCAAAGTAATATATTTCATGATTGAAAATTTATTGATCGAGGTGGATTTATTGAGGAAACGATTCCCGTTTTCCACAGTTGGTTGACAAGTAATAAATATCTAACCCAAACCAAGCCCTTTAAATAATTTAGTTTTATTGTCAAAGATACATCACTCCATAAATAATACCGTAGAAAATATTAAGATGAATTAAAAGCAATTATGTATGAATATAGCGACACTACCATAAGATTTGTTAAATCTGATCGCATCCAAAGGCTTGCTCCATTGAAGTTAAGTCGTACGATTTACGTAAAATAAAGCTTCTGTAGTAGGCTATTCTTATAACTATGTAAAAGGGTGATAATTCAGTAGAGAGCGTTACTGAAATCTAGTATAAAAAATAGGTGTACAATGTCTTACCAATAATTATTACCAAGCGCCCAATAATAAAATCAGCTGTTTGACAGGTAATAAAATTATAAAAATGTCAACAGAGTAAATAAATGCAAACAGCTCGTCTTCCAAAACCCCCACCCGTAAAATGTAATAAATGCAAGGGAGCCATATAATTTTTTAAAGATCGAAAATAAGACACACACCTTTCTAGGAATAGAGCAAACAATATCCCAAAATGTATTACAAATCGTATTCATGGTTTGGTATGGTTTTGTGGACAAAATGAAAAGATAAAAATTATGCAGTAGACTATATTCTTGGAAATTTAAGAGTATACATTAGGTTGTCCAGACAACGGAGCAACAAGTTGATAGAGTTGTAGTGACTTTGAGTTTCAACCTTTGGTCTTCAGCCTTGAACGGTTCTCAGCTGTTAAATTGTTTACACTCATATAAACACAAACAACAACAGTAGGCTGGTAGGCACCATAACACTACAAACATTTGTCGTTTGTCGTTGACATGTTTGTAACCTAAGTAAAACAGTCAATGACGTTTCAATCATTCTCAACTCAACACTACAAGATTGTTTTATTGTTGCCTTTTGGCTGAAAGAAGACGTAGTTGTGTAGGAAGGTGAAACAAAGCTATACCTGGGATCATTTTAATTTTCTCCCTCTATACAATAGTAGGCCTACATGGAGAGTATTGTTTTTGTCAAAATTTTGAAGTTTGAGTTTTGGGTGGATATATATGTTTTGGGTCCCAATGGATGGATATGTCTGTTATCCATGTCTGTTATATGGCTGTGGAATGTGTGTAAAATTTTCTCATACTTGACCCAAAAGATTTTGATAAAAATTTTGTATGTCATACTCTTTTAGGCTCTGAACATGACTATAAAACACCCATTGCAGTAAAAATTACTGTTCAAAAGTTATTGCAACTTTTGTGATTTTCCCCATAAAACCTATTTATCTGCAGAAAAATCAGATTTTAAAAAATGACTGGACTAAATATGATTTAACCTTTTAATTCTAAGTGAAACAGTGCAAACCCTATTGCCGTAAAAATTAAATTATGGTTTAAAAGTTAAACAGCTTTTGTGATTTTCCCAATAAATTATCAAAGTTACTCACACCGCTTACCATTGCCATGATAAGGGTTGTTGACAAGCTAACGGGAGAAATTATGTGTCATATTCCTGATACCGTTAATAACTAGGCCTAATGTTTTGAAGTTTCCAGAAGCAAAATAAACTTTTCTTAATTTTTTTTTTTTTTATAATGGCCAATATGTGTATGTGTCCAACTAAAATATTTGCTTAGCTTCATTATCAAATCTGAGAAAGTGTATAGTCAGAATATTTTTTACTGGTTTGAGATTTACAAAGTGTCAAAAAAGCTTGACTAGTCTCAAAAAAACGTAATAAGAAATTTTTCGTTTTTTGTTACACTGCATCATGAACAAACCGTGGTTTTGTAAAATTAAGTTGGTTATACATCATCGTAAAATATATTTGATTAGGAACTTATTCCTAACCTTTGAAAAAAATCTGTCTCAATCACCAAATATATATAGCCTACATGTTAGTTCTTTCTTCTTATAAAACATGTTTACATTAATAACATTTTAATAGAAAAATATCAAGAGAAAAATGCATTTATTATGACAAACTCAGGTAAGGAAATTCGCTAGGTTTGCGTATTTTAAAATTTTGCTTGCTTAAATTCTACTCAAGGCTTTGCCAATTAGTAAGTAAATCAAGGTCAATTTAATTTATATAAAGGGCAAAAACAGGTTCGTAAAAGTCACATAAAAGTGTAGGTCAGCAGATCAAGTTCTCCAAGAAACATTCATGTTGTCTTGTTATAATTTACGAGCTTTGCTTTTATAGTTCTGTCCTTGTCTAACATCCTTTCCTTACTTCCTCCGGGAAGTATTTCGTTACAAGAAGCTTAGGATATTCATCAAATTAAGTAACATTCGCTCAAATGAATTATGATCTAATTATGAATTTATGATGAGAAAAAGGTTGAGATTTCAAGATGCAAAGTTTAACATTTACATGATTGATTTGCAGTTTTCATTAGTTTTAGATTTGTTTTGTATTAGATTAACCTAGTAGGAGCAAAAAATTACCTTTGAAAACATTATTGCGCTTCAGGTTATATTTTTAAGCGAAACCAGTTGGCTGATTAGGATAATTTTGGAAAGTTGATTTAAGGTTTAGCTAGCTTACCTTAGAAAGTTAGAAACCATCGGGCTAATATATACTAAAACCACAAAAGATAACATTGTATATTCCCTCATAAAATAAGACTTTTCAGAGGGTAAATTTTCTTCAACTGTTTAGGCCTATATAGGGTGGTCAAAAAAGGTGGGGATATATTTTACTTAGTGATTTCTTGGGTCAAAACAAAGAGAAAATCAAGAATAACATTTTTCCAAAATCGCTTCGTTAACCAAATATCCGCCATTTTGTATTTTTTACATAAACATTTTTATTTTTGAATTTTTTCAACCAATCTTTATAAAACTTGGTATGTAGGTTAAAGTAGAAAAGACCAATGTTAGAAAAACAACTCATCTTGATTCAACTTGAAATTTAAAAATGGCGGCCAGCCTAATTACTCAAAAGCGGCTAATGTTATGAAAAAATGTCAAGAACACTTTTATTTAGCATTTCTAATTCCCTATCAAACGGTACCAGGTTTAAAAAGATCGAATAAGACATAGCTGAAATATTAAGATATTTTGTTGTAAAATGGGGTAGAATAAGGAAGAAGCTAGTCAGGTTTGCCCCATTTTACAACTAAAAATCTTAATATTTCAGCTATTTCTTATTCGATCTTTTTGAACTTGGTATTGTTTGATAGGTAATTAAAATGCTAAATAAAAGTGTTCTTGGCATTTTTTCATAAAACCAGTCATTATCGAGTAATTTGAGTTTAAAATTTTTAAATGGCCGCCATTTTGAAATTTTAAGTTGAATCGAGATTAACTTATTTTATGACACATAAAAAGTTTCATAAAGATCGGTTGAAAATATTAAAATATAAAAATGTTTATGTAAAAAATACAAAATGGCGGATATCTGGTTAAAAAAGCGATTATGGAAAAAAATGTTATTCTTGATTTTCTCTTTATCAAAATCACATAAAGCGACAACCCAAGGAATCACTAGCTAAAATATGTCCCCACCTATTTTGAACACCCTATATACTTTTATTGGATATTTATTAGCCCCTGGACTCTCATTTTCTCAGGTAAGCTAGTTCAACTCTATTCTCTTTCCAATAAAATCCCTTGAAAATACAAGTCATTGTTAGACACACAAATGTAGAGATAGAGGTGTGTTTGTTAACTAGTGAAAATTTATTTTTATTTGTTTGTTGATACTGGAACTGTACTTCTTGAATAATTTTAAAACAAGTTGGAACAAGTTTAGAATACAAAGAGCTGTGGAGAAGAGCAAAATATAGTCCTGTTGGTGAAACAATAAAGAAAAAGGCCACACCCTAAGACCAAATAACAACATTGCCCGACAAGCCCTTGAATGGAACCCTTGTGGAAACAGAAAAAGGATGACTTGGAGAAGATCTGTAGGCTACAGAAAGAAATCGAGGAAGAAGGCAAGAGCTGGGGAAGTGTAAAAAGGATGGGCCAGAATCGTGTGAGGTGGAAGGCATTTGTTGCAGCCCTACCTCCCACTTGGGAAGAAAGGAACTAAGTCAACACGAACACATATAACTTATAAAAACCTAAACACAAAATGTTATCATACAATTTTCCTTATGAACCCTGGAAAAAATGTACAACTAGGCCTACTTTAAACTCATATTTCATGGGCTACAGAATCTTTTTGGGTGATCTTGGTCATGTGTGTTTGGAAATAAACTGTTTCCACGCACCACGTAGACCAAGCAAGTTTATGGTGAAACTGTGAATACCGGTATTCCATTCTTTACAAATCGAGACAAAAGGAGAAAGCATGTAAATCTAGTGTGTGAGGGATTTAAAATAGAGGTCAACAAAGAAACAGGTGAAAAGTTTTTATCCGTGATTTCTTGGATAACTAATGAGCTCCTGGATTTACGGAGCTTGGATTTAAAGAGCTTTTATTCCCCTTATTTTACCTTACACCATTGATTACCCTGAGAATTATCATTAAACATCACCGTGATAGTTGTTTCCTTAGCACAAGAATATTAAAATGCACTTACATCGTCTGGTTCTGTAGTCTGAAAGAGGTAGCAGTAGAGTATGGACTCTGCGAGATCCCGCAAGAAGTATCCGAAGGTGGTAACATTCCCGTGGATCATGAGATGTCGACACACGAGGTAGAGAGCATGAGACATGAGAGGAGGATCCCTGGATCTCGCATCCCTCGAATAACACATCACACATCCGCTCTTCACTCCGAGAGAAACCTACCACCAACATGATGGAATACAATGTGCACTGGGTGGATTTTTTACCCTCATAGTACTACAGGGTGCTTTGCCTAACCATACTCATACCGAAGAGAGCTAGACTAGCTAGACAAATCAATATTCCAAAGTCAGGGAAAAAATGCTCCCTTAGCCTATTTTTGTTTAGCCTACAGTAGGCCTACTATAGGATTTGAAAGACCTTTTTATTATTTTCTATATCAATACTATAATATTACTAAATTATGATGTTAACCTGCTGTTGTGTGCATTTAGTTGTACCAGTACCTACTGATTGTTTGATAAGGCGGTAAGCAATAGTCACTTACGCTGATCTTGTTGGCTAGGCTATATTTAGACTATATTCTACAAACGAAAATAAGTTACCTAATCTATAAAGAATAAGTTAATCTGTGCTAAAACGTAACAATTCATGACAAAAATCTACAAAAAGGTTCAACAATATAACGTACGTAAGTAATACTTTCCAAAACAAATAAACCGCTTGAATAACAAACTAGAGGCTATCAGGGCGACAATTTAGTCATAGGACGACTTTATAACTTTAAAACAAAAAGATATATCACAACCAAATTTGGCATATCATTACTGGTAGGCCTAATAGTAGGCCTAAGCTACTTTTTTGTGTAAACACAATGATCTGATGTTACCTATGGGGGTCAGCCCATACGGTAGGGAGTTTAAGTTGAAAATCCTAAAGGTAAGCATATGGTGATATGAACTTTAAATTAAAGTTTAGTAGAAGACAATGCCGCAAATTTGAGTTCTAAAGAACAACTGAGTAAAAAATGGCAGCCATTTGAAGATTAAAAATGAAAGATTCAAGAAATCTTTGAACGGCTGCCATTTTTTACTCAGTTGTTCTTTAGACCTCAGATTTGCGGCATTGTATTTTACTAACCAACCTTTAATTTTAAAAGTTCATATCTATCTACCTATGCTTATGTTTATGATTTTCAACTTACTCCATATGGGCCACCATAGGTGACATCCGATCACCATGTAGGCTACACCAAAAAGTAGCTTACAATTACCAGCAAGGATGCCAAATTTTGTTGTGATACCTCTTTTTGTTTTAAAGTTATAAGGTCGTCCTAAGACTTTTTTAATTGCCACCCTGTATTTTTGTTCACATGGCTTGGTTACAAAAATACACATAGAATACGGTAACTTAAACTTATTAGCAATAGGCTACAGTTGGCCGCTTTTGACCTGAATTAATGCATTAACCAGCCAATAAGTCCTTGGCATTGTTGTGTAAAATGTTCATATTTTGGAGGGTCGCTCGCAATGAAGCCGATTAACGTTAGCAACGATGTCACACTAGGAGTTAACTGACTCAAAGTTTGTTTTTGATTGAGTCGGTTCGGTCTGCCAAGTCTCATTGCAATATTTCTTTAAGACTTCTTTAGAGGTCTCACTCCACGTTTTAAAGCTTTCTGCAACGGACTTGAAATATCCAACAATTTTCTGTAGTCTTACGTAGTCCAAGTTACGTGTTAATGAACCGTGTGTGTGATAGTTCTAATGAATTTTTGTAAATAAATAAGTTTTCAAATGCTCGAATAAGTTTGAATACGCGTACCTACTATTATTACATTGAATCGCTTTAGTATTTAGGTTATTCTATGCGTTCTTCCTCATGATCGATGCACTGAATATTGACGTTGCATCTTACCTTTATTTAATGCATGACTTTTTGTAGTGTTAGCCTACTGTTTGCAGACCGGAGAAATTTTCTCCAGGAAATAAAATTTTCAGCTATCTACAGAACTTAAAGTGGTTTAGATACCTGCATTTAGGTAGGCTAATCCAATTCGTTGCTTATGTTGCAACCGGGTTCAACTCCGTGGAGTCATCTTCAGGCTTCCAAGGATATAAGTTATCACTTCATTTGAAGGTCGTCATAGTTTAAAAAAAAAACGAATAAACACGTAACAAAAAAAACTATGACGACGACTTTCAAATGAGGTGATAACTTATATCCTTGGAAGCCTGAAGATGACTCCACGGAGTTGAAACCGGTTGCAACATAAGCAATGAATTGGATTACTTAAATGCAGGTATCTAACCCACTTTAAGTATTATACGTACAGTAATCCGGAGGCTAACATCCATCAATATCTACAGAAATATTTTAAATATTACGCTACCTATTTATTAGGCAATCAAATGTAAATTATGATGTTGTGTAGGCAGGGACAAGGCTCCCAAAAACACTGAGGATCATATCGCTGTGGTTTTGGTAACATTAAACTAATTCAACGGAAAATAATTGTTGAGATTGAGTTAACGGTAGGCCTACCGTAATGTAACTTAGGCTATACAAAATGACAAATGCGACATCGGTGGGTGGAGGGCAAATGTCTTGTGCACATGTGCATCCCAATCACCACTCTTACTAACTTTTAACCTATGCTATAAAATCGTAATATAAATTAATTAAGCCTTACCTTTTGAACAGTGGAGCCTTTGCGAATTTCGGCCAGAATCCATGGTATCATGGGGTTCGATAATCTTCGATCAGCAGTGGCATAACCGAGATAATCCACTTTGTATAGCTTCATTTTGGTCTTAAGTTATTTGGCCTACTAGCCTATCTAAGAATCACTTTAAACAGTCAAAAATAGATAGGCCAAAGTACATCTAGTTCCATTGTCAGTAATTCACTCGTAGATGTAGTAACGGTAACTCTGTTGGGTATAGTTTCTTATCTGAACTATGCTAATATTGATTGAAACTATCGAATTGAAAATATTGGTTAATAATCAATATTTTTAAATATTTTTATTATAAAATAAAACTATCATAACCTAACCTAACCAACCAAACTTGCTGATGGTGAAAAAATCGCATGAAGGTTTACTAATTGAATCGATAGTTTCAATCAATATTAGCATAGCCCAGTTAAGAAACTGTACCCACTCTGTTTTTAGGAGTAGAATGAGATTTAAGAGAAATTTAAATAGAGTGAGATTTAACGTGGCTTAAAACTCTAATAGGCCTATAGGCCTAATAAAAGATTCTAAGTTAACTTCAAAATATGACAATAAGATGTTTTATCAGAGGCAAGTTGGTGCCTAAGTATTTGGCAACTATTTTGGTGCCTAGATGCTTTAGGCTAAATCCGTTCAACAATTACCGTATGCCTACCTAGCCTATTTAAGATTTAAGTTAGAATACAATTAAGTTACTTTTTTTATGGGCCTGAAAATATGACTGATTAACTAAATAAACCAACCTAGGCCAATGTTTAACAACCACCCTAAAAAGATTACCGTAACTTATACTAATCGACGAAGCATCAGGTAAATTAACTACCTATTTCAAAACTTGAATTGAGACCTACCAAATTAATAGCCTAGGCCTATATTACCTAGCAAGAATTGAAGCAAGTGGTGGGTACAGTTTCTTAACTGGCTATGCTAATATCGATTGAAAATATCGATTCGATTAGTAAACCTTCATGCGATTTTTTCACCATCAGCAAGTTTGGTTGGTTAAGTTAGGTTATGATAGTTTAATTTTATAATAGATAGCCTATATTTAAAAAAATCAATTATTAATCAATATCTTCAATTCGATAGTTTCAATCGATATTAGCATAGCCCACTTTAGGAAACTGTACCCCAAGTGGTATTGAGGCTAGGCCTATAACAGTTTTAAAATAATCACGAAAATATGAAACTTTGATGGTAAGATAAGTTAGGTCCCTAACTCAAAACATTGTTGACTTAACTTAGGCCAAAGCCTAGGTGATTCTGTGAATAAAATCACGACATAACATAAACTATTGGTATGACCACTAACAAATTTAAAGCATTGGTCCTAGGAAAGAATTTAACAATCAATCGTCAGTATTTCCATGCAAGTATGATGTTAAACAGTATAAACACTAAAAATCAATAACAGATTTGGGTGAGTTTTTGGTTAGGTTTCATGATAAATCTATGGTCTACGCCAGTCATACGTTAATTTTAAAGATGTAGGCTTATATACCTTAAGGTAAATAGTTATTGATTTATTGTATCACTAAATAAATAAAAATATTATCACTTTCTTGTGTTCAATCACGATTTCACTTATGACACTTTGGATGTACAACCACGGCACGATAACGAAACCAAAATAAACAGAAACAGAATTGAATTGAAATGGAAAGGAAACCTAAGGGAGAACAAGAGAAAGTCAGTACCAGTGGTGCCAACACACTAACAATGTACATTCAGTATTTGGTTCTCTATACTTTTATGAAATTAATATAATTAATTATAAATACATAACAATATGTATGTAACATCAACCCTCTCAACCTGGGTACCATGACTCACGCAGTCTCATGTCATCCTGCCTTTACAGAGGAAGAAGTGATGAAGACTCTTCTGAGCCTTGATGCAAAAAAGGGTTGTGGCACGGCCACCTTTAACTTCAGGCCGCGGCCTTCGAAGTGGCAACGTCGCAAGTGGTGTAGTAACAGCTGTTTTGTTTGGAAGCAGCTCATGGTATTTGTGTATTTACGAAAGATTGATCGTTGACTATGACAATATTGACTCCACTCGGTTTTCAATTCTGTATGTTTTATTTTCAATTATTTTAATAAATTTATGTTCATAAATTTAAATTTAAATCAATAAAGTTCGAATTAATGAGCTGATGTCACCTGTCTGAGTGTCTGCCATGTTATCTTATGGGAGGTCACTGACGTCAGTCACTATACAACACCACTTCCGACGTTGCAAATTCTACCAGGCCGCGGCCTGTATCTAAAGGTGGCCGTGGTTGTGGGCCTGACTCGATTGTACAGATTCCTGACGATTCTACAGGCCGTGGCCTGGTAGAATTGACAACGTCGCAAGTGGTGTTGTTTAGTGACAGACGTCCCATATAAGATAACATGGCAGACAGGTGACATCAGCTCATTAATTCGCACTTTATTGGTTTAAATTTAAATTTATGGACATAAATTTATTAAAATATTGAAAATAAAAACATACAGAATTGAAAACCGAAACAATATGAATTAAAAATCAATATCTGTACATTTTAAGCGGAGTCAATATTGTCATAGTCCAGTAACCAATCTTTCGTAAACACAAAAATACCATTAACTGCTTCCAAACAAAACAGCTGTTACACCACCACTTGCGACGTTGCCCCTTCGAAGGCCGCGGCCTGGAGTTAAAGGTGGCCGTGCTTGATTCCTCCAATAATTCTCCAGTACTGCCACTCTCTTTTGGCTCGTCCTCTCTAGGAACTCTATAAGCTTGTCCGTACGGAGCGGCGTGTTTCCAGAAGCACTGAAGATCAGTTATGTTGTACCAATACATAAATCCGGCTCGATCTCTGATGTGAACAACATATGCCGATTGCTATCCAGTCTGCTATTTCGAAGGTCTTCGAAAAGCTGATCATTTCAAGAGTCTTCCCACTAATCCAAAGGTCTATTTCTCCCTACCAGCATGGCTTCTCACCGGGTAGATCCTCTACGACAAACTTGATCAAGTTTCACTCCGACATCATATCTTCGTTCACACCAGTCAAAAACAGGTCCACACCATATTCCTAGACTTTTCCAAGGCCTTTGACAGGGTCAGCCACCCTCACCTTCTTAAACTGTCGTCTCACGGGATACACGGCCCATTGTTGGACTGGTTTTCGTCTTACCTCCTGTGGCCGGAAACTGATGGTGAAGTTTGCCTCATGTACCTCAAGATCGATCTCTGCTACATCTGGCGTTCCCCAGGGCTCACATCTCGGCCCTGTACTCTTCAATATCTTAATTAACGACATCTCCAGTCATTATAATGTCAAGCACCTCTTGTTCGCCGATGTCATCAAGCTGTATTCAGCCATCAAATCTATCGATGCCTTCTATGAGCTCCAGGATAGTCTTTCTGCTGTGGTGTGTCGAGAACTGTATGGCTCTGAACACTTCAAAATGTGTCATCATGACTTTTCACCGGACCTTGGCTCCCGTTTTCCACAACTATGTCTTGAATGGGTGCAACCTCGACAGAGTCTTTGAGATTAAGGACTTGTGTGTTATGTGCAATGCTTCCTTGAGTCCAGAAAAGCACGTACTCTATATAAGTGCAAAAGCAAATAAGAACTTGGGTCTTATTACCCGATATTCACAAACCTTTTTCGTCACCATTGGCACTGAAACCCCTCTATTGTCACCTCGTCAGATCACATTTAGAATACTGCTCAGTAGTGTGGTCTCCCTACCAACACTATCTTCAGGAAAGACTCCAGTCAATACAAACTCGGTTTATCCGCCTAGTAGGTCTTCTTCGCCTTGGATACCGCTACGCAGATGTTCCAGTGTGCGCCTTGGCAGCTGTCTTGAATCTTCGTACGCTGGTGTCTAGAAGGAAAATCTTCGATCTGATGTTCCTACATAGACTGTCCAACAGAGAGATGCTCTGCCCGGAGTTGCTTGAGCGGATTAGTTTCCACGTCCAAAAGAGAGGGTACTGGATCAAGGGAGCTGTTTGCTAGGTCCCACCATGCTACGCTCTACAAACAGAACAGTGCCATCGTTCGCATACAAGCCCTGGGAAACTCTCTGCCACCTGATATTGATTTCTTCAACAGTGGCACCACAGGTTTCAGGAGATTGATCAGCTCTCGCTTCCACTTGATCAGTGATGATGACACCTATCTACGGCAAGACTAATCTCTTATTAAATTTGTTAAATCCTTTTTATGATTTGTTGTCCTCGTTGCTCTTTATTGTTATCTTCATCCTTATTGTTACTTCATTGTAATTCCTTTTGTTATTATTTATTGTTATTGTTATTGTTATTACTGTTTGCACTTTTGTTATTAGTCATCACTCATCAACTCAATAGTCGTATCACAAAAATTGTATTCTGTATGTAATGGTTTGTCCGTTAATAAATAAATAAATAAAGATGAAAATTGAAGGCCCAACACCATCTACTTTGAATAATTATTCAAGTAGATTTATCATCCATTTTAAATATGCCAGCTGTTTTGAGGTAGTACCATTTTTCTTAAAAATTCAAATTTACTTTAATCAAGACAATGGTTTAAATTATTCATAATGTGTATGTTAAATACACAGTTTTATTTTATATGTGCGTGTATATTTTTGTTTTTGTGTTTTGCGTACGCTATTAAATAATTCTTTAGTCTATTTCCTCACCAAAGGGTCAACGAAGAAATCCAATGAATAATGAATAATTTAGGGGCCAAACGGAAAGGGGGAGGGGTTTGGCTTAGCGTTACGCAGTGTTACAATGCAGGGGAGTGGGATTTCAAGACCGTTATGGTAACGCACTAGAAATCTATTTTTTTCCAATGTAGGTACCAAAATATAAAATTATGGACAATGATAGAATGATACAATGATTTTATCGGCCAATCAAAAATATTGTTACAGGCTATGTCAAACAGTGTACAAGTATGTAAGAGTCTTTTTGGTCAGAATATTCATAAAATCAGTTAGGCTAACATAATTTTGATTGTTTGGTCTGGATCTGGATATTTCTAGATCCAAAAACGTCTACAAACTCCTTGCTCTGATCTTCTACTCATAGACGACATGTAAATATGGATTCGGCCACCCTAGAAACGGACGCCGTCCATATTAGGTAACATTTTTTTTCATTTTTAAACCTTTTCCCTCCCCTCCCTGTTCCCTGGACGCTGCACAGGCTTAAACCCAGCACCCCCTCCCCCTGTTACGTAACGTTGTCAAATATTTTCTTAATCAAGGTTGTGGCTTATGAAATCTAAGTGAAATTTGCTGCTAAAGTCAAAAGAGTTTAAAATCTATATTTAAAAATAAAAACAAACATTTTAAGAACTTACAGCTTATATTTACCGGTAAGAAAATATCCAAACAGATTAACGTTTACAATACAATAGCACTGCTTCTTTACACTTACATCAAAACCATTTAAAAAAAATTTTTGACCCACAACCTTGTTTAAGAAAATATCTGACAGCGTTACATTACAGGGGGAGGGGTGGATGGATTTAGGCTTGCCTTACACTGTATGCAGTTTTGTCACAGGGGCGGAGAGAGGGTTTAAATGAGAGGGGTTTAAAAAAGCTACGTAATCTTTGGACGGCCCCTTACTTTAAAAACTGCCTTTCATAAAAGATCTCAAGTTAATGCCATCGAGCTATGGACTTTAACAAAGATTAAACCATACATTAAATATAGTTGTTTATGATGAAAAATGCTATAGCTCCCTTATTGTACGTTGTGTTATTGTACGTTGTGTATTGTACGTATGACTTTACCAAGGCCTTCAATAGAATATCCCATTGCCTTATGATCAGGGAACTTGAAGCTATCAAATTTTGTGGCTAGATTCAATGATGGTTCTCCACCTACCTGGAATTGTTCTTCGGCCCGACAATGGAGACCCCTATTGTTGTCAACCAGTTCGATCTCATATTATCACCTAAGAAGCAAACAAAAATTGTGCATATGCCGTTTCTCCGATTGGCAGGGACAGGGCTGCGCGCTAAGGCCGCTAAGGGCACAGATATGTGGAAGTACCAACTTAAAAGGTTAAGGTAACTACTGCAGGATCTAGAATAGAAGTGAGACCTTTTCATACAGGATGAAGTCTTAATTGTTTCTCTAATGCCTGGTGAAGGATTGATTGCCCTCCTCTTCTTGAGGGGTTGAACTTCAGAACCCCTTGTGGCACCCAGTCAAAAGCTCTTACCATGTTAAGGATACAGCGCTAAGTAAATTGAATCTTTGATACTGTCTTACTGTATTGTTTTTTTCCAACTCCTCTTTTTTGAGCCTACAATCACACACAATAATTACACTAATTAATCTCCAAATTTACACTTCGTCACTTCGTTTAATTTCTTTCTCAGTTTAGATAAACATTCATTTAACTGTTATATGTTATTTTATTTTTTAAATTGTTTGTTATCAAGCCCACAGTTTGCATGCATGGGCGTCCATCAATGGGTAAGCCCCCCCCCATAGAGACTCCATGTTAACAAAATTTTCTCAAAATTCTAAAATTATTTAAAAAAAAACAATAGATTTACAGTATTGTACATAAAGAAAATGTAGTTACAAAAACTAGCTGT